TAGTTGAAAATCTCCAGAAATATCGGTATATCTTAGAAAACAGAGACGGGATCATCATAGATTTCAGCTGATTCGTGCCAAACTTCGCTGTATACAAATAAATAATATCGATTGAGAAGTCTTTTGGCTATTTATTTGTTTCGAAGACTTGTATATTTCATTAAAGAATATCTCGCCACTCCTTGACGAGTAGCTGTCAAATACTGCCATTTTTTGTCGTCACGTGACCGGCCCGGACCAGGGCGTCCTCGTGTCTCGCTTCGTCCACACACTAAAGCCCTGGGAACGAGGTTGAAGTACACCAACATTGAGGCAATTACGCCAAAGCTAAATAAAGATTTAGCTAATGAGTTTCGATATATTTTTATTTGCCGTAATTTGGAGCAGGGGCGTAGGATGTGGGAGGAGAGGGGGGGTTTGCTTCCGCAATATCTTATAAGAAGGGCGATAGCTTTCGCCCAGCCCCCAAAAATATTGGATTGAAAATAATAGTAAATTACTGCGAAATTCTCGAAAATGAAAGTATTTGAGACATTATATACAGGGCCTATAATTTTTTGTTTCGGAGGCCCTATTTTCCCCCCAAAATGTGGGCGAGCGGTAATTTTCCGGACATTAAAAAAAGAGTCAAAATATTTTTCTGCTGGAACATCAGCTAAACTGACATTCAAAACAATTTTTCCACACAAATGCCTGTTGCAACATGGGTCAAACACTTTTTTGTATCAATATATGTAGAATCTCGGTTTAGAAATTTTTTTCTCATACCATTATTTTTATCAAAACACGTTCGACATTACTATTTTTTTTGCAAATGTAGGCCTCCCCTCCTTAAACTGGGGGCCCGGGGCAAATTGCCCCCTCTTCCCTCCTGTCCGCCCTCTGAAAAGCCCTGTGTATATATCATATCAATAACGTATCTGCAATTGTTTAATAACCAGGGGCAGATCCAGGATATTTCGTACGTTAGTCAAAGTTTTCGGATGTACAATCAAGTTTTGCGAGCGGCGAATGCGCGACGCACCTAGGGGGTCTGTCCCCCAGGAATTTTTATATTTTTAAACCTCAGAAACGGAATTTGCATCACTCTGAAAGCAGCTTCAACAAAAAATTAACTTCATGAAATGGGAGATAATTATAGCAACTATCAGCCTGACTCACAACTCGCTCCTTATGGAAAAATAAAGGAGAAGTACTTGCAGAAAATGATAATTGTGGAAGATGTTTCATTGTATCAAATTACGGATTACTAGTATTATGTTTAACTATCTCATGATAGTTCTACACTCATTTTTATTGCCTAATAGCCTTGTTGATAATAGCCCAGTGTCATATAACTCAAATAAACATATATCAATATTAAAGTCTTAACATTCATCTATAAAACCTGACCTTTATATCCTATGTATACTGCATTAATGCATTTATATAATATTTAGGTTACCTCCATATTAATAGGCTATTAATAATAGCCTTCTGAGTTCTGACGGTCCTTCAACCGCAGAATTACAAATATGCAAATTTGTTGTGTAAATCAAACTTCATAGCTAAATCTAAATCAAGATACGCGTATTCAAGTTACAATTTTACATATGCATGGCGCGCATCTTGTTCGCTTATAAATATTGTTATGCTGTCTAAAACGAAATAAAATTTACATATCACATTAAATTTACCTTATTGCACTTCAGAATAAAGATATCGGCGCCAATACTTCTACTCAAACAGTCAAACTGTAGTTCGTGGTATTCGTGGCGCTTACGCCGCTTAGCAACTGCTCACTGAATGGAACTCTCCGATATTTAGCGTTGATTTTCCTCCCAAGATCAGCGCTACAGTCTTGTAAGACAGCTAAATCATTCACCGCAAATGTGGATTGAACCGTTTCGTGAATACTACAAGGACTGGAGTCTGGAGCAGCAGACATTTCCGAATTTTCCGTAGATATCTTTAAATTGAATCTTTCGACAAACTACAACATGACACTTCGAATGAGCGTGCGCTCGGAAAGACTTTACCACGTGTCAAGTATTAAAGTGCCCGTAACCCCCAAATTGATTTTCGACTTATTACACTGACCTGAACTTTCAAGTGTCTTAAATCCCTAATTTTCTGTTTTCTGTTTTCGTCGAGAAATGGAGTTTGCGTTAGCGCATCGCAGGCTCAGGGTGCAACGATTAATTCAAAATGCCATCGATTCAAATGCCATTCGATTCCTCGACTGCTTGATTTAGTTTTCATAGTAACAAGGTCCGTATTTATGTACGTAGTAGCCGGCTCATGCCATGCTTGTGGTACATCTTTCTTTATTAGCCCATACACTTGTACGCACGCGCACAATTACCAGTTCCAGACCTCCTGAGTCCCTATATCCATCAGAGGCCATGTACATTTATGGATAACGTTTGTATTTGCGAATAATACTTGTGTTTCATTGGGCATTACGAAAACATCTGCTGAGGATCACGCCACGCTTTTAGCATTTCACCGTTTCTTTGTAATATTGTACGGGATTTGTACCCCGCGAATTTATACAATAGAATGGAATATAAACAAGGACAAGTTAAAGTTTTGACAGTTTGACTACAAAATATTGTATACGCAGAGTAGAATTGTATACTCAATGTGTTTGTATCATATGCAATACACATATAGTCATTCGCGCATCCGTAATGTGCAGTCAATGACGCGACATCCGTGATGGGTCCAAAGTTAATAAACCTGCTACTGATCGACTTGCTACTGATAACTACAAGAAACACACATTTTATTGTGTTACTGAAGATTTGTTGCGTCAAACAATAACATTACTTTTAACTTCGATGCGAATTTTAATACAAGTAAGGTATGGTATCATATTTCATAATATAATGAACAATGTAAACTAGCCCTACATTTCGTTGAACATAACTTCGGCCCCTTTGGACATATCTTTTTCGTAATAGTATTAATGGAATCAGAATCCAAAACACTATTTATAGTGTTATTTTCAAGCTTGTGTCTTACTTCAGATTTTCATCTTTTATTTCGGTATTTACAGAATATTTATATTTTTAGCGTGTCCCATAGAACGTACATCAAAACAACGCACTGTTTAAATCGTAGGGGTCTAAAATTCGACTTAAGATGTTTTACCTTCAAACTGCACTTCCTCGGAAGTTGACTGGTTGGGGTTTTTTCGTGCAACGTCTCTGGAAATGCAATATCTGGATCGCTGAGTTTTTCGAATTTTATACGTTTAATATACGGACTCACGGAATGTAAACAATGTTGTCTGCGTTAGCGCATCGCATGCTCAGAGCTAAACCATGTGCATTTGTGGATAACGTTTGTATTTGTGAATAATACTTGTGTGTTTATTGGGCATTACGAAAACATCTCCTGAGGATCACGGCACGCTTTTAGCCTTTCACGCTTTGCGTCTGCGGTTCACGACTTGTATTCTTGTCTATTGCACCGTAGCTCGTATGTCGTCATTTTCAGGTCAGTGTGAACGCCTGAGCAGGCGTCTTGTTTATTATTAGCATGGCAAAATTGGATACGTACTTCTCAATGTCAGCATCATATTCTCTCGCCAAAGCCCAGTCCCGCCAGACTTTCAACCAAAATTTGGTGCTTTTGTTTGTATTTTCATTTAGTTCTTTTGTTAAAGCAAAATTTGGTGATTTTGTTCGTATTTTCATCTAGTTCCTCCACGGCAATTTCATTTCACGCTTGAGTTTAAAATACATTTCCGCCATTTTGTTTGTTTTGGGAAAATCATTAATTGTACTGCAGTACAATTAATGAAATAATTGTGCTCCTCTCAACCAATCAGCATCCAGTAATTTTGTCATGCTAATAATAAAAGGAGTAATTATATATGTCATGTCATGATATTAATATTTCACTAAAACGTTCAAAACCAAATGTAACATTCTGAAAGTCATAAATGTCAACCTAACTCAGTTTTTGTCACAATTCAAGAAAAATTTGACTAAATACTCCCTATTTATGCTTCAAATTTTGTTAAATTTCTGCTCTCCAAAATGTAGGAAATGCCAATTTAGAGGTCTAGGAAATTTGTATGTAATCTGCCCCCTGGAATGTTGTGAACAAGACCAACAACTGGTTTATGACTACATGAATCAGATGCTTTTCTTTGTTAAATGCAGCAAAGGGACAACATGGGCAAATAATGCTTTCTTCCTCAAAGACATCATATAATGGACTATGTAACTATACAGTATGTCTACTGTAAGGTTCTGCCACATTTGTTTTTAGTGTGAAAAAAAATTGGCATCCAAGGAGAAAGTTGCCTGCAACCTCGATTCAGCTACTTCTTCAGAAAGTGATGTGGAACTGGGCAATGAGTCTGTTGAGGAAGTGGAATCATGTTACCCTGAAAACAATACATCTGTTAATGCATGTGTGGATAGCAATAGAAAGGTACATGTGCTGTAAAATAAAAATTAAATTAAAATACAAAGTTAACCCTGCAACGCCCATGTTTCCACTTACGTATTTTACTCTGTCTAACGCCAGATGATTTTATTTGTCAATGGGGAAAGTGTCTGGGCGTTACAGGGTTAAACTGTACCTGTAATTTCCACTATGAAATTTCACTAATCATATTCTACTGTAAAGCAGTTTACCGTGATCTCTTCATTTACTATACTTGGTTGCAAGAACTGCTGACAATTGCAGACAAAATGCATTGACCTTGTAGTTTCATGAATGAAAATTGTAGCTTTTCTTTGTGATGTAATATTCCTTTAAGGAACGTCCTGAACTTGTTGTAATCAGTTCTGATGATGAAATGGGTCAACAAGTTAACAAGAAATACCTTCCCAAAAAAGATAAGAGGAAAAGGATGAAGGTAAGACATTCTGCAGTCTGTATGTGTTCTCATTACATGTATGTTGTAATAAAAATAACAAAACTGCATTACAACTTGTTTTAAATGGTTATATTTCTATCATTTTTAGGCGGATTTACTTGATGAATTGGCCGATAGTTTAAGTGGGCTAAGCTCTGCTGAAAACACACCAGCTAAAAAGGTCCGGGTTGCAAGTCTTAAAGTCGAAGACACTGAACTTCTCTGCAGGAATTTATTTGATGAACAGTGAGTACTCATTCATAAACACATTACTGTATGTTGAAAATAGTCCTGTATGACTGATGTAACTTAGCAGTACCATTGCGGTGTTGATTTTTTGGCATCTATTACAGCTCGAACCATAGGCAGCCCAAAAATACGTGTTGAAATTTTTACCCTCGCGCATAGCGCTCGGGCATGCACCGAGTCTACTCAGTTTATTCCCGAGCCGCCGTGTGAGGGTACTAATTCCCCCCCCCCGGTTATTTACACCCGGGGAAACGAAAGCATTTAGCGAAACCTAAAGTTCATCAAATATCGCGGGCGTGTCGGCGTGACCAACGAACTTGAGTGGGTGGTCATCCTCACTGATCTCAAAAATATGGCTGATTGCTTGTGGGAGTGGGATAAGCAAGATTTTAATTTTAAAAGACATATATTTGGAAAATCGTTTCATATACAACAAGCTTGAAGCAATTTTGTTTGAAGAAATGAGAAGAATTGATTTACTATGCCTATGGGAAATCGTGAAATATATACCCCTTACGAAAATTTCCTATAGGAATTCCTATAGAAAAAATTCCTATAAGAATTTGGGACAAAATTCCTATAGGAATTTTTCCTATAGGAATTCCTATAGGAATTCCTATAGGAAAAATTCCTATAGGAAAAATTCCTATAGGAATTTTGTCCCAAATTCTTATAGGAATTTTTCTCTATAGGAATTCCTATAAGAATTTAATAGAAAGAATTCCTATAAGAATTCTCAAGTCTAGTCCCAAATTATTATAGGAATTTCCTATAAGAAAATAATTTATTCTAATTTCCTATAAGATTTTTGGTATTCCTGCAGAAATTCTAGAATCTAGATGAAACAATAGTAAATGACAGACAATGTTGTTCATCACTCTTAATTTTTTAATGCAAAAAATAGATATAAATATTAATTAATAAATACTAATTAATATTGCAAATATAAAAATTAATATGAGAAATTGGTTATACTAAACATTACAAATCAATTATAGTTTTCACCTATTGTGCCAAATTAATCGTTCTACCTCAATGCAATGCCATATGATGCGTCCTACTTTATTATTTTGCTCTGTATAACTATTTTACTTTGTCTAATGCCAGACTATTTTACTCTGTCTAACTCCAGACAATTGTACTTGAATGTCAA